AAAACCACCAATCTTCATCCACCACTATCGATTCATGTTTTCTGGTTTTGGGTTTTATATCTGACGAATCTGAAGAAGCCACAAAATAGGCGAGGGTCTGATGGATCCACAACGGTGGTCCTATGCAAGTTGCGGTCCTACGAGCGGCTACATTACGATGGTGATAAATGGCAATTTTTTCTACTGCGGGGGGTGTTATCATCGTCGTTTACACGCATAGCACAGTTTCTACAGCGGCTTCATCACGCAGAGAAACGAGGTGGTTCTGGTGCAGGATGAGGGGGTGGGTGCGGCGTCGAAATAGTTAGGGTTAGGGATGGGGAAGGTAGAGAGAGTTGAGGCTGATGAGAGAAATGGCGCAATAGAGAGAAAAAGACGACAGAAAGAGAGAGGGAAGAAAATAAGTTAGGGTTTTAATATTAATATATTTATTAAAATATAAAATTATTACCTGATTTTTAAATAATTAAACTTTCAACCTCATTTTTGAAAATCAATCTTTAAATTGTAATTTCCCTAAAATTAAAGGTATTTTGAAAAATTATATAAAAAAATATTTTGGCAGTAAAAAATATTTTGTAAAGCTAAGTGTCACATTTTTATTAAAAATGATATAAAATGTCACTATTTAAAATTAAGTCATTGTTTGATTCCCATTTTTATTTAAATACATCTTTTTTTTTCAACTACACATTTTTCAATAAAATAATATTACACGTAATCCAAAAACACTTTCTTCATTTTTAACCATACATTTTTATCAATCAACTATTATAAAATGCATTTTATATTAAAAATGGGGCTCAAACAATCCCTAACTATCACTTCATACAATGTTACTTTTATTAAAAATTAATGTTTATCACTCAAAAATATGACAGAAATTAAAAAATAATAATAAGTATCAATAAAAAATTGACATATAATAAAAAAATAACAAACACTTAAAAATAATAAAAATTTAAAAAAATGGCACACTAAAAAATGATAGAAATTGAAAAAAAGGGTGAAACACTCGAAAAAGTAACAAGAATTTCAAAAAAGTGACAATGTCATATTAAAAGTGATACAGTCACCCACTTCAAAAATTGTCAAGTTAACCAAACAAAAATAGTTCCAATTGAATACAAT